TTCATGCCACATCACTCTACAGTCCTGGCACCCTTACACAGCCTATTGAAGAAGAATACACCCTGGAAATCGTCTAAAGTTGAAGAAGATGCATTTGTTGCCGCTAAGCAGCTGTTACTTAGCTCAAAAACTTTAGTACATTATGATGAAACACTTCCCCTTTTTCTGTCATGTGATGCTTCATCGTATGGTGCTGGAGCAGTTCTGTCTCATCAGATAGATGGACAATTTCGGCCTGTTGCCTTCGCCTCTTGTACCCTGTCACAAGCCCAACAAAACTACTCCCAGTTAGAAAAGGAGGCATTCAGCATCATTTTTGGATTAAAGCGATTTTGTCAGTACTTGTATGGTTGCTCCTTCACACTTTTAACAGATCATCGCCCTCTGCTCACCCTCTTCGGACCACGGCAACCAGTTTCTGCTCATGCAGCAGCTTGACTTCAAAGATGGGCTATTATCCTGGCATCGTACAATTACAAAATTGAGTACTGCAGCACTACAGCGCATGCTGATGCACACAGCATGTCACGTCTTCCTTTGCCACAAACATGGTCACCCAAATGTGAAAATAGCGAGTGCTTCTTCTTAAAACCTGAAGTTGTAACCAATGTGACCAGTCAGATGATCAAAAGAGAAACCCAGGTTGACCCCGTCTTATCCAAAGTGTACAGTTAAGTCATCAGTGGATGGCCAAGTGTCGTTGATCCCACAGTGGTACCATTCAAGAATAAACGAGATGAACTGACAACCCAACAAGGCTGTGTGTTGTGGGGTACTCGGGTTGTTGTACCACCTTCCCTTCAAGAGAAAGTACTGCATGAACTTCATGAAACCCATCCAGGAATTTCTAGAATGAAAGTGCTATCAAGGTCATATGTATGGTGGCCCAATATTGATGCCCACATTGAAAGAACTGTTTCTTCATGCAGTACTTGTCAAACTATGAGATCTGCACCTCCTACTGCTCAAATTCATCCATGGGTTTTTCCAGCACAGGCTTGGTCTTGCATTCATGTGGACTTTGCAGGACCGATCTCTGGACAAATGTGTATGGTTGTTGTTGATGCATACAGCAAATTCCCAGAGGTGGTCAAAATGACAAATATTACTGCTGGAACAACTATCACTGCATTGCGTGACATATTCAGCAGGCACGGATTGCCTGAAATTCTTGTTTCTGAAAATGGTTCCCAGTTCACTTTGAAAGAATTTGAAAAGTTTTGTGTCAACAATGGAATTTTACATCGTACTACAGCAGTGTACAAGCCATCCACCAATGGTCAGGCAGAACGTGTTGTCTAGATTTTGAAATCAGCAATCAAACAAGCCCAGCTTACCCACACTGATGTGTCTGCTCAAATTGCTAAGTACTTACTAGTTTATCAAAACACCCCCCATTCCACTACAGGTGACCCTCCCTCTTTAATGCTTATGGGCAGGAGATTGCGCACTCACCTCAATTTACTGATTCCTTCAGTTCCAAAGCATGTTGAAGCTCGACAGTACAGTACGATGGTTCGTCCCACTGCCCACAGAGGTCTACGCCAGTTTCATGCAGGTGATCCAGTACTGCCCAGAAACTATGAGAAGGGGGAAAAGTGGATGCCTGGGTTCATCACTGAGGTACTTGGTTCTTGACACTATATGGTTGACGTGTCAGGCAATCTGTGGAAACGACATGTGGACCAACTTCTGAGCCGAGCTGTCAATGATGACCATTTAAACAGCCCATCGTCAATTGAAGATCATTCTATGCCACTTCGATTGGCTCGCCCAGCGGACTTTTCTGATGAAGTTGCCCCACTTACCTCAGGCTCTCATACAGCCGCAACGAATGAGTCGCAGTTGACCAGTACTAGCGAACGTTTTGAAAGTCCTTTACCTACAGTTGCCTGTTCTGTTACAGACAATGACAATGTTACTGGAGTTCCTCCTGTTTTGCTGTCAGAAACTCCTGATACAAGTTCTATGTTAGGAAAACCAAGTTACTTAGACAAGGTTGCTACTCTCCCTTGTTCTGAAAGACGTTACCCTGTTTGAGTAAATCGTGGACTGCCAAGTCACTTGAGAGACTGAGTTAAAGTGCTGACATTGCTTAACTGTTGTTATAGAAAGAAACTGTTTCATTTAAAGGGGGAGATGTTACATAATAGGTATTGTTTGGACTGTTTGGACTGCGCATGTGCAGTGACACATGCGATTTGGATGTTCAGAATGTTCAGATTAAAGAGAGTTGAGTTGCGTTTCCTTGTGTCCTCGATAATTATTATCCGTTTACAACAATTTCCTGACACTGTTGTTTAGAGAGAGGTGTCAAGAAGATGTAGAGATGTTGATCACGTCCTCCAGCTTAAATCTTACCAGAAACAAACTTGATTAGTGAACCTTGGTACTTTGTGAAATGGGGCACTTATTCATGAAGCCTTATCTTTTTTATTAATAATTACACTCTCATAATCTACAATTCTTAAGCTTTCAGAAATGCATACTTAACTGGGGTTTGCATGCAATGTACGACCGTAAAGCGGTGCCAACAAATGATGGCCATTTGGGGTATAATGATACCTTAAGTGATTTCATGTAGGATTTGCGCAGAACTTTGACATAACTCCCACTGCTTGGACAATGGCCGGACAAGTTGCGATTGCAGCATAAAGTAGGCTTCCAGTGATGAACTGGTACAACATTGCATTTATAGGTCTGCTAACACCATCTTCCTTTTGCAGCTTGACGTTCAAATCAGCAGGTGCGGACACTGGTTTGGGTTCTGCTTACCCAAAGAGCATCTTTTGATGTACTGCCCTTGATGAAGGTAGACTTGCTTGTTTTCCTTATCTTGAACGATGCAAACTGCCACATAGCAGTGCAGCTCCCCAATATTTTTCATCTTAAACTGCAACTTTAAGCTGTCCTTAAGTCTTTCCATCTCTGAAGTGTTTTTCGCTAGTATCATCAGATCATCAATGTGAACTGCAATGATTGTCAACGTATCCTTTTTTCTGATGAACACACAGGGATCTGCCGAGGTTTGAATGAGAGCAATCTTCTCAACACATTCCTGGGAAGCTTTATTATAACATTGGGATGACTGGTTTAATCCATACAGTGACTTCTCTAGCTTGCAGACCAGATGCTCTTCTCCAGATTTCACATATCCGTCAGGTTGCTGTATGTGAATTTCTTCATCAAGTTTGCCACTAAGAAAAGCTGTCTCAATGTCTCAAACCCTAGCAAAAGACGTATTAAAGTGAAATGAACTACAAGCTAAGTTTCATCATAGTCAACAGCACATTTCTGGGCGTAACCCTTGGCCACTAGGCGTGCTTTAAACCGTTCCACTGTACTGTCTGCTGTATGCTTCAGCTTAAATGCCCATTTGCATCCTATAGCTTTCCGACTGAGGGGTAATTCAACCAACTTCCACATCTTGTTTTAAATCAGAGATTTGTACTCTGAATCTGTAGTGACTTTCTACACTGCAGCATGATCACTGGACTTTGCTTCTTGTAAGGTTGAGGGTTCATCTACCTCACATAGATGATAGGCAACATGGTGCACGCAGTGGGTCGCGGTGTCTGCATATTAGTCTTTTTACAAGTAATCTTAAGACGTGTCGGCATTTTAATGTATTGCTCTTTTACTTCCCAGTTATCAATAACTTAATATATTTTCCCTATTTAGTCTTTGATGAATTTACTGTAAAGTACTAGTGATTAGTCTATGTAAATAGTGTTATGAAAATTAAAAAAATTATTATTTAACAGCCTTCTCATTTCACTAGATGTATCCTAATAATTCACCCAGTATCCTATTTTAGATTTTTGGACAGTCACATATGCAACCTATTGCCCTTGAGAGAACTTTGGGGAGACTGAGTGCCAGCTTTTGGCATTAGCATTACTGGGATGGTGGGAGGTGCAGTGGCCTCGTGGTTAGTGCGCTCGTCTCCAGGTCAAGTGGTCCAGGTTCGAGCCCTGGCCAGGACATTGTGTTGTGTTCTTGGGCAAGACACTTTACTCTCACAGTGCCTCTCTCCACCCAGGTGGGTAGCAGCGAACTTAATGCCGGGGGAAAACTTGTGGTGGACTTGCATCCCATCCTGGGGGAGTAGAAATACTCCTAATCGTTTCAAGCTACAGAAACCGGGATAAGTTCTGGCCTGATGGGCAACTTGGCTTGTATACAGACTTTACCTTTACCATTGCTG